AATTAATTTGTTCCTTTTGGTAACTAGAATGTACACTACAAGTGACATCATTTAGAATTAATCATTGAATGAATTGTTGGAAGTTTTAAATAAAATAAAACTATTCATAAGTATGAGAATTATTGAAATACTATTCATATCTATAGTTTGAGAATATTCTGTAGTTATGCAACACGCGATGAAGTTTGAAGCGAACGCTACTGGGTTCGAGTCCCACGGTGAACATCAACTTGAGATGGAAATACGTCCAGCTGACGAGTCACAAGTGGAACGAAACGCGTGGTTATGCAACATTATTGACAGTATTTAAATTCACTTGATATTATTTACATGTATCTTTATATTGATCAGTCTCTTATTATTGGCATATGGGCATACTATGAGTATTGTTTTGATATTGTCTTAATTCACAAGCATTGTAAGTAAAGATGAATCGTGACTAGTAGTGGAATCCGGAATATGTGTTTCGTCCTACTTGGGACTTGTCAGATGAATGTACCTGAATCTTAGAGTTCATGTTCACTTTGGGACTCCAACCCAATATCGTTTACATAAAACGCTATCATGTTATCCACTTAGCTACTAAGTTCTAACAGACACTTGGTTGTGCAATAAGATGAAGTTTAAATTGCTGGATTCCACTATTAGCTACTATTCATCTTTGATTAAATGGTAAGATAATTTGCATTTAGAAAAAAAAAGATTTCAGTGATTATTTCATGAGACATTCAGTCAAACCATTCCATGCATGGAGAGATCTTACGATTCTACATTCGATGTGTCCAAATAGTAATAATAATAATAATAACAATAATAATAATATCAGAAGGGGTTGTGTGAAGATTTTGGAAATTTCATTAGTTGAAATTACGAGTCAATTGAAGCTGGACCACCATGCAAAACATGGAAGCACTGGACGGCTCAACATCGTGGATTGGTTGAAGTTAGACATTAACACCGTTGAATGCCAACCGGCTCAGTGGTCCAGTTGGTTAAGCGCCTGGCGCGAGACTGATAGGTCCTGGGTTCGAATCTTGTGGGGAGCGATATCGTGCATGTGCACGAAACGGCCGTCCAGTGCTTCCAGGTTTTCCATGTTGGTCTAGCTTCCATTGACTAATGATTTTAACCAGTGAAATAATAATAATCTAATTCATCTGATATGTGATTGGGATATATATACATTTTACCTAACTACTGTCTACTGTTATGCACGTTGTTGCTTGGAAGAAAGTTAGAAGACATTAAAGCACAATATCGCATCACTCTATAAAATCACTAATTGTTGTCTGAGCCTTATCGATTGATGAATACTATTTGATTGAGTTCCGTTTGATTACTGTAACTAATATTCAGAGTCTCTAGGTGATATCACTTAAAACCAATAAGAATAGAACAGATACATTCAGTTTTCATCCAGTTGATGTATTCCAAATAGGACAAAACACAAGTCATGGATTTCACTGCTAGTCTTTATCCATTATTGACAGACTTTAGAAAAAAAAACACACAACAGATAAGTAGAGAGAGGTATTCGGTAGAAACCAGTAAGTATATGAATCATGCTGGTTTACACCATTAGTAAGATGTAATATATCATATTTATAGAGATTGATATCTTCTTCTTACATATTTCAACCCGTACATTCACTAATAAATAACAATAATTGATGTTATCACGAAGATGTTCAACTTATCAATGACCTTTGAATAGATTTAAACCTTCACATTGATATAAATAAACTTGAATCTCATATTACGTAATCATCATTTCCATTAACAATCTTTTCTTTTCTTTTCTTTTTACACAAAAATTATATTGATATTTCTGTTGGTTCAATCTAAAGATAACAGAATATGATGAAACATTTTCCAAGATAAAAATCAATAAGCATATAGATCGTGAAAGAAGAGTTGTGTTGTTTACAAAAATGAGAGGACGAAAAGCGAATGTCTGGCGCTTTAACCGGAACCTAAACCAATGGTGCACATGGGCTAGCTCCAGTATCCTGAAGGAACAAATGGCGTATGAACCAATCGTTGGTCACCGGCTACCATGAGACCGGACTGCATCTCCTCACGATGCTCCACTGCCTTGTGGATCAGACGTTCAGGTCGAAGGCTCGGGGTGTGGTCCCCTAAGAAAACCACCTGCTTCGGTTTGGGCACCCGGGCAGTATCACAGCCCTCACACAAATCAATTGAGATTCGTGTGGCGCATATGTATTAGGTGCCTCCCTGTACCTACACTTATGTGTTAAAATGAAATGAATGAATGAACGTGAAAGAAGAAGAAGAAGAAGAAGAAGAAGAAGAAGAAGAAGAAGAAGAAGAAGAAGAAGAAGAAGGGGAAGCGAAGATAGACAGAATAAAATGACATAACCATATGTTTTATTAGTTATTATTATAAAAAAAAAGAAAAAAAGAAAGAAATTGATGAAGCGGCAAAATGTAACAACATCTGGTATTATTCAAAGCCTTAGCAACTAAAATCATTCAAATCATTATTATTTATAATACATACATGAAATTAGTAACAATCATTTAAACTTTAATTGACTACTATAAATTATTGATTTAACTGTCAATTAATGACTGTTTAAAGTAAAAACAACATCAAAGTTCAATCGTTAAGTTAATAAATGACAAGTTTGAAAACTAGTTAGTCACATGGAATATAGAACCTGGCATGTATGTATATCGATTTATATTGTTGTCATATCATATTAGTATAATAAGATGAAATGATTACAAGACAAAACTTGGAATAATAATGGTAGTAGTAGTAGTAGTAGTAGTAATAATAATAATATCAGACCTTAGAAACAACTATGTATTGAAATAGTGAAGATTTCTGGCTCAGGTGAATGATTTCGATGAAGTTTTGTTCTCTGAGCTGGAAGGTTTCGGTTGTATGCATCCGTTATCATTAGGTGTACCATTATGCTTAGCTAGTTTCTATCCTAATAGGCAGTTGATTGGAGGATGGAAAATGCTGGCGAAGACATTCATGAAGAAAATACAGTTGTTCTTAAGTGAAAGCCTTCTTCCAGCCTGCATCTAACTCGGAGAACAAAACTCCATAAAAAAACAACTATATATATATACATTTTATCTTCCAATATATATGACAGTTAGGTAACAGTTTCTTAGTAGTCTTGTTTAAGGAAGGTTAAATGTCATTAAAATAACATAATCTTGATATCATATTTCAAGGAAAGTATTCTTTAATCATTATGTCACATCTAATGTTAGCTGATTTACGACTGGTATATATAATTATCAGTATAGGGTTTGTGAAGATTGGTAAGTTTTGGACGGCTGTTTTGTTCTATTGTAGAACGATTCAGCAGTGAGCATCCACGATCCCACTCGTAACCAATGGTTGGAAACTCTTGGTGACATGGATCAGAATCGATCACAATGACGTCGGTGTATACACTCTCTGTATTCCTTCAAACTATTAGATTAAAATCACTTCAAATCTTACTTTCTACTAACTAATTCTATCTTGCTGTACTATCTCCTTATACACACTCTTTCTTCTATATATTACCACCACTGAATTAACTACTTCTATGAATCCGGTGTTCATCTTGTTGTGCTAATGAGTAAGATATGGCAACTTGGATCGATGCATATACGTGCCTGGTCCTACGTTGCAGCTGACTAACTGACTGACTGACGGTCCCACTCGCGGGATTCGAACCTATCATCATAAAATAGGTCTAATTATTACATAACAACTAGAGGCAATATAGACGTATCTCTTGTATTCCACTCATAACCACATTCCATTTATTCTATACTAATGAAGGAAAGTTAAATTTTTGATATGAATAAAAAAAATCATTCTATAAAAGTAATAATTAGTATGATAATCACTAGCAGTGGAATTTAGAACATACATTTTTACTTTATATGAGATTCAATAACAGTATATAACCTTATCATTCCAATGATATGGTTCACTCTAAGAAGATTATAAATGTAATTAAAGTAATCTTACATCTAATTTTAAATTGATAAGAAAGAAAACAAAACACAATCCTAAGACAAATAGATTCAATTATTCTATTATCATCAACTTTATAGATAACCTATCAATTAATGAAACAGAAATGACAAACGTTTTTAGGCGAAAAAAACAAACACCTAAAACGAATCAAAATTATTTACAATATTAAAAAATTGAATTGATTCAGTCGAACAGTGATTACGTAACCAGTCAGTTAGTCAGTCAATCAGTCAGTTAGTAACAACGTAGAACTTCGTATGTACGTACGTACCTACATCAGTTCGAGTTGCTTGAACACCGATTACCACGACGCGTAATGCTAACCGGTGTTAGGGATGATTGAAAGAAAGTTAGGGTCGGCCAAACGAAAAACGTGACATCAGTCAACAAAGTCACTAACTTCTAGTTTGAACCATTTTGTTAGATGCAGACTACTTGGTTGGGGTCCGTGTGAATAACGTAACCAATGGTTAGAAATATTGTGTGACATGGCTCAGAATCGATCACATTGGCGTCGGTGTATACACTCTCCATCTTCCCTTAAACAACTAAGAGATTAAAATCGCTTCATATCTTTCTTTCTACCAACTAATTCTTTCTTCCTATACTATCTCCTTATATGCAATCTTTCTTCTATATATTATCACCACTGAATTAACTACTTCTATGAATCCGGTGTTCATCTTGTTGTGCTAATGCGGTATGGCAACTTGGATCGATGCATACACGTGCCTGGTCCTACGTTGCAGCTGACTGACTGACTGAGTTGCCATACTACATTCGCATAGAGATACAATTATCGATTCAAATTCTATAATGATAAAGGTAATAAAAGTATAAACAATAATCGAATAGATTAAGGTTACATAATTCAATCACTATCAATGATATATTCATCATAAAATACAAAATGATAGTTCCAAAAAAAAAAAAAGAAAAAAAAGAAAAAAAATCAATCAATCAATCAATCAATAATACTTACTCTATCTAATTTTAATCGTTTTATTGGTATTAAACTATCATTCAATCCACATTGATGAATGGATTCGTCAGTTTTTACAGCAAATTCATATGGATCAATTGGTTCATTAATTCCACTAGAAATAATAGATGATGAAGTTGATGTAGTTAATGAATAATTATTTAATGTACAACAATTTGTTTTAGAATTTGTTATACGTATTGTATTTGATATTAAATTATTACTATAATTAGTAGTAGTAGTATGATTATTAGTAGTATGATTATTAGTAGTAGTATTAGTAGTAGTAGTAGTAGTGGTAGTAGTAGTCATAGTATTAGTAATGGAATTTATAGATGATACATGTGTACGTCCACCACGATTTGTGATTTTCAATGATGTTCCACTTATTTGTGATACAGTACTATTAGCATTATTATTATTATTATTATTATTTGAAGTAGAAGGTGATGATGATGAAGAGGATGAAGAATTTGTGTGTTTACTTGATTTATGACGGGTTTTAGTAGTTTTACTTGTTGAATTACTAGATTTCTTATGACTTTTATTATTAATATCATTATTATTTAGTGAATTGTTTGTTGAGGCAGGGTAGTTATTATTATTATTATCCGATTGATCTAATTGTTCATTTAATTTATTAGAAATATATACTGATGAAATATTCGTATTATTCGTTGTAGAACTTGTATTACTATTAGCACTACTCCGTGTACATGTCTCTGACCTATTATATGGACGTTTGTTTTTAACTTTCATTTCTTCTATATATGTAGGTATGTATGTGTGTGTGTATGTGTAACGTTCAATCAACTGAAATTATCCACAATCGATTATATTTTATTAACATTTGTTTGAATTGAAATATGATATAATCGATACGGATAATATTGTTGATATATGAATATAGATATATATTCCACAGATTGAATGATAATCTCAATGATAAATTCAATTACGTAATGACAAATCCAAAAAAATAAAGTATACTTGATAACTAAAAGTTATTTATTGATTATTCCATAGAAACTATTTATAGATTAGTTCCTGTAAATAAAGTACATTCGTGTTAGTATATCTGGGATTAACCAGGGCGGCAGATTGTAATGCAGTTAATTTTCCTCTTTGTTTATTCTTCTTTTTCTATAAAAAATATATCCGAATACAATGAAAATTTCCACCCCACAATACAAATAATAATGATCAATTACTTGAATGATATCATAAACAGAATATATAACTATCCACAATATACATAATCCAAATGATTAACAAATGATTCCAACGGTTTTCATTATTATTATGATGATCACGTCAAAAAAAACCAGTATTTATATATACAAAGAGCAAGCTAATGTGATTGGTTAATATTTATTAGCCAATCAGAGATGAGTTGTCAAAATAACGTAAAAACGCCCTCCTTAGCTTTTTTTTTCTTTTCTTTTCTTTTTGTTTTTTCTTGTTTCTTCAATATAATAATAATAATAATAAATTATTCAAGGTGTGAATTGACGAGAAAAATAAAATAATTAAAATAAAAAGAAATAATGATAAACATTAAATGAAAAGAAGAAAAATTTTAAAATGAATATGGTTGTTTGTTTGTTCGTTTGTTTATTATTTTATCATTACATACATAATACACACACATGTACATACACGCACACGCACGCACGCACACACACACATACAAACAAACACCTAAACACAATAACACAGCTGTTAGTATAATGTTTATTTAGATTAGGTTTTGTAACCTGATGTGAAACAACAAAAACAACAACAACAACAAAAAACATATCCCTAGTTCATTTATCAAACGATAATATTCATTATATTATATTGATTGATTTGTTTTGTTTTTTTGGAAGGTTATTTAAAATTCAATAAAGAATAGAATTTATTGCATAAGTTTAATTAATATGATTATAGTGGGATTATTTTTATCATTTATCAGGAGTAGAGGTATTAGTAGTAGTCGTAGTCGTAGTCGTAGTCGTAGTAGTAGTCGTAGTAGTAGTCGTAGTAGTAGTAGTAGTAGTAGTAGTAGTTGTTGTTGTTGTTGTTGTAGTAGGTGTAGTAGTAGTAGCAGTAATAGTAGCAGTAGTAGTCAGTCACTCAGTCAATAAGCCAGTAACAACATGGGACTTTGTATGTACGTACATCAGTTAGAGTTGCCATACCACATTAGCACACAGATTCAGTTATCGATTCAAATCCCCTAGTGGTAAAGGTGGTATGAGCATAAGCAGCAATCGCAAAGATTAGACTTAAACAATGTTAGTCAAGGAGTATAATCCAGTGGAATAAATATGGAAAGAGAAAAAAACAAAAAGGGGCATGAAGAATTCGGAAGATTAGAATTTTAGAGAACACAGAGAGTGGATGCACCTGCGTTATTGCAAACAATTTTGAGTCATGTAATTCAAGGTCTCTAACCATCGGTTGCTATCATCTCCCGGATCCCTACCGAAATGGTTCAGTCCACTTGTGAGTAAATTCATGGATTTGTGCCATGTTTTTGGTGTGGCGCCCCTAGATTTCATCCCACCTACTCCTACACCATAAAACATCGCATGTCGAGGCATTCGGTGATTGGGCATACGTAACACATGTCCCAGCCATCTCAACTGATTAATTTTCACTACTTCATCAATTGATTTGCCATTCTTACCTATTTCCTGTTTCGTAACAACTGTATTACTTACTCGGTGGTCCCAGGATTTACGAGCAATGTTTCGAACACATCTATGATCAAATACTAGTAATCCACGAATATCCTCTACCCTTGCCGGCCATTTTTCGCTGCCATAAATTAGCACGGAACGAAACACGTCCTTTTGTTGTTTAAATTTGTGGGACTGATATCATGAATGTTAATTTGTAGGAATCGCGTTCTATCAGGAATCGATTACAGTTATAAATAAGGGCTGAATGTATTTGAAATACTATTTTAAAAAAAACATGTTACACTACACAGAAGTATGACATAAACTCATTGTTCAATAAACTAACCCTGTCATTATATTCACTTGGTGTTGTTTACTTGTATCTTCTAATTCCAAAAGCAGGTAGCTGTCAAGACTCAGTAGCTAAACACATAACCTCAGGAACATCCTGCAATACGTTATTAGTGATCTAAATATTGCAGTCAAGTTAAACTGATTTTATATCGTTTAAGTTAGATCCATGGTAAGATAGAATATGTGCAGTGTTATACAGTTCTATCCTAAGATAAAAACATCAGTTCATTGTTTCCTGTTCTTTACAGATACCATAACAGGGGTCAAAATTTGATGAACATAATCTCCAATTTCATCAAATCTTCACCATACATATATACATACATTAAAATATTCAGTCAAATTCATATAATATGACAGATAACCAATGAAAATCTATTTCAGATAGTTACCATTGTTATTGTAAAACTGTCCAGGTTATCAATAACCTCTTCTTTTTTTTACTGTGATACTTGTGGGTACCAACCGTTAGTTTCATTACAATTCGTATTACTTTTGTAGACCTCACTTTCTATTTGGTTTTGTAAGAAAAGAAGAACTAACAAAGTAAACTTATGGTTAGATTCACTTGGTATTGTTTTGGCTTGTATTTTCTTATTGAAATTTAAGACTGCAATTGATCAGTCTATTATTGGCATATGTGCATACTGTGCGTATGCCTAGATATTGGCTTAATTCACAAGCAAAGATGGATAGTGGCTAGCAGTGGAATCCACTTTGACGAGCGTTTCGTCCTATTCGGGACTTGTCAGCTGGATATACCTATATATCGCAGTTGGTGTTCACTTTTAGACTCGAACCCAGTACCATTCGCTTCAAACGTCATCGCGTTATCCACTTAGCTACTGAGTCCTGATAACTACTTGCTTGTGCAATGAGGTGAAGCATAAATTCATTTGGTATTGTTTTGCTTAAATCAAGTAGGAGGAAACGCGCGTCTTGGATTCCATTGCTAGCCAATATTCATCTTTGCTTATAAAAGCTTGTGAATTAAGGCAATATCGAGGCATACGCACAGTATGCACATATACACATATGGTTGTTTGGAAGTATTAAATAATTACAGAAATGTTGATTTACGGTAAATTAATTGGTATAATCTTTCCCTTTAATAATGTATACCAGCTTTTCCAGAAATGTCACTTTAGAATACCAAACTGTTGGAAGGTGTCATGGTTAAACATTGAGAATGAGTTTATTAAAAAGAAAAACCGGAGTGTTAAATATAGAGGTATACAGTATATTATCATTGGAAAGTTCTCAACAAGACATGAACTCTGAAAACCTACCTAATTATAAATCATACATTATAGGACTCTTAATTTGATAATATTATCATAACAAGTATACCTGTAACTGATATTACTAACAAAGATGTACAAATATATCATTATTATAAGCGGAGATTGTTGATGGTTTGTAGTGGAATCCTAAACGCGTGTTTCGTCCTATTTGGGACTCTTCAGCATGATGTGCCTACATTCCAGAGCTAATATTTATTCCGGGACTTTAACGCAATACCGTTCGCTTCAAACGATATCGTAATATCCATCTAGCTGTTGAGTTCAGATGGTCACTGACTTGTTGACAAGGGTAATTATTAACGTATATGTATTGGTTATTTGGATCAACTATAGTCTTGAACATCAATAGAAATATCCAAACAAGCATAAGTATGTATGGTTTTTATCTGTTTATTTCACATTACGTATCAATTACCAATGTTAAACATTGTTCACAAAATAATTAATGATATATTTTAAACAAACTGGTAGTACTGAATATTCAATAACTTAATATTATGACAACAGGATATGTAGTTAGATAAACAGGTAGATATTAAATGGATAGATAGGAAGACAGACAGGCGGATAGACATATAAACATTGTAGATAATTTACATGTATAGTCCTAGTTTATATATATGACAATCATCATCATCATCATCATCATCATCATCATCATCATCATCATCATCATCATCATCATCATCATCATCATCATCATCATCATCATCATCATCATCATCATCATCATCATCATCATCATCATCATCATCATCATCATCATCATCATCATCATCATCATCATCATCATCATCATCATCATCATCATCATCATCATCATCATCATCATCATCATCATCATCATCATCATCATCATCATCATCATCATCATCATCATCATCATCATTATCTCAAACAGTCAAGAAAAATCTATCATGTCCAATCATCTAGACTAGGGATCGTGTATCCATCTTGACTGACTGAATAGGATTATTACAATGATCTGTAAAATATAATTAGATTCTTCTGGAATAATATTATTGTATTGTAACTATTATACAGTGATAAGTACTAAGTGATTATTTAAACACGTCAATCTAACAATAAGTCAGTAATAGGGTGAATAACTTAGTGTCATTTATGTTCAGACTGTGTGAGACAAAGTGCGAATCATACGAACAAAAGTGTAGATGAAACATAGATCTATGACATCTTTGAAACTATTGTCAACAGGCTAATATGCAGTTTGGAACGTGTAATGTAAACAAATAGTATACTTCTTTTCAAAAAGTGGTTAGTAATTCATCATGTTTAATTATTGTACATCCCGTACTACTGAATACATCATTTTCATGTAATGATCCAATGTATCATTGAAGAGAAAGACTACATTAGTGAAGAATCAATCATTTAATTCAATATGATCTTTGTATTTATTGGATGATTTTGT